TTCTTCTTCTTCTTCTTCTTCTTCTTCTCCTTCTCCTTCTCCTTCTCCTTCTCCTTCTTCTTCTTCCTCCTCCTCCTCTTCCTCCATATCCATCATTGCATGTTGGCAGTCATGTTGGTGATCCTATTTTTATCAACAGCTGCATGAAAAAGTGCTGTTGAGTTTTGTCCAAACCAGTCCCTTAGATTTTGAAGCCATGATATTCTTTTTCTGCCCTGACCTCGTTTGCCTTCAATCTTTCCTTGAACACTGCCTCATCTTAATAATAGGGAAGATGAGGATAAATAAATTGCAATTAAACCTAGATAAGATAGAGATTCTGTTGATAAGGAGAAAATCACACACTCACCAGTAAGGGCAGGCTTACATCTGGAAATGCTCCTTGATGCCCAACAGTCATTGGATATGCAGGTGATGGCTGTGATGAGAAGCACTTCTGCACAATTTCTGTTAATTATGCCAGTGTGGTCCTTCTTGAGCTGATTGGATATAGCAACAGTTATCCAGGTCCTGATTATATTCTATCTTGTCTAATGCAGGGTATTTTCTGGGAATTTATCAATGTCTGGAAATTGCAATTGGTGCAAAAGTGCAACAGGCAAGCTGCTGGTTGTTGATCGATGCAAGACACAGGAATCCTATGATACCTTATACTAAAATGTCTCCTGACTACCATTTACTTACCATGCTCAGTTTAAATACTGGTCTTGACCTTTCAAGTTCTAAATGACTTTTGACACATTTATTTATGGGGATACTTCTCCCTGATATTACAGTAGGAGAGGCTTTTTTGAGTATGCCATCCTTCTCAAAAGCATGGCTACTTAGTTTACAGACAAGGGGTTTCTTCTGTGTGACTCTCAGCTTTAAGGAAATGCAATTGCCTCTCACTTTCTCTCAATGTTTAAGAAAATGGTAACATCTTTTGTTTAGCTTTGATCTACTGTTTCTTCTAACAATTATTTCTCACATTGGTTTGGCTTTAAATTTTGTTGTGTTTTAATCTGTAAAATGTGTTTTTATTTTCCATTTTCTATTTTCATACAGTCACATATATACTGTGCATAACCGGGGCCATACAACATTAAACAATAAACACAGCAATTCCTCTTGTCAACAATACCCTCCAAAATAGAAACCCAATATACCTCTTCGTCCCTCCATACACCTCTTTCTTCCACCCCCTCCAACTTTCCATCTTCCCTCCATCATTCCCCTCTACCCTACTCCCCCTCCCCCTCTACCACTCCTCTCTACTACTACTAGTACTAGTAGTACTACTACTTCCATAATCTATCACATCACTTTTTTTAACCAAAAAAAAAAGATCTTGCATTTGTTAATTACTGCTTTGCTTTCAAGAATCAGGTATTCACTGTTTAGTTTCCGTGTCATCTTTCATCCCTAACCCTGATGAATTTAGTTTCTGTTATTATTAGTTTGCATGTCATGGATATTAGCTCTTCTGATTCCTTTTTTAATTTATCCCACCCATGCTGCATATTGTGTTAGTTTGTTTAATGGTTTATTTCCCCATTTTTCCACTTTGTAAAATAAAGCTTTTTATACTTTTTTTTTTAAACTGGCATCATTTCAAAATTGTTTATGCCTTTTCTAGTCTGTATTGTGTATTTCATTTGAACTCCTGTTATGTTTAAAATAATTTCTAAGCTCCCTGAAGCAGTCTTACATTTCTGTCTGTTCCTTTTATATTCCATCTAGTTAAACCTCTCCATTTAAAGGAAAATAAAAAGCTTCCATTTGAAATTAAATATGATTCTTTTGAACTTTCTGGGCTATTTTCCAATTCCCTAGGATGTCATGTTTTCCACTATTTCACTATTCCATGGAAATTCAGTGATGCTTACAACCTGTCTCCAATTTGGGAATAATTTAAGATTATATCAAGAGTCATCTCCACTGCTGCGCTTGCTGCTGACTTATTTGGCAGTTTGTCCACTGAACCAAGTGAGACTTATTTCTGGGAAATAAATACAGAAGCTTGCAAAATTAGTATTGCAAGGCACAATAATTCATCAAATCTACAACAATTGGGAAGAGCCCAGTTCAATGTTAAGCATGTGTATGCCTGCTGCTCTACCTTCTAGGAATGATATAAATTTGTACTTGGCTTAAGAGCCACTAAAGTAATTGATTCTTAAAATGTTTTTGGTTTATCTTCCTTTGGCAATTCAGAACAGAAGAAACTGATTTACATCAAGTCTATCAGTTCAACGAATTGCTGGCAGACTGCAGTACCTAATTGGCCTTCACTGAACTTTAAAAAACTAAGCAGGTTTCTCTCTCCCCATCATATATCATCTATAATCTTCCTTTCCTTTCCTTTTTTGTCTTTCCTTTCCTTCCCTTCCTCCTTCCCTATCTCTTTCTCCCTTCCCTTCCTCCTTCCCTTCCTCCTTCCCTATCTCTTCCTCCCTTCCCTTCCTCCTTCCCTTCCTCCTTCCCTATCTCTTTCTCCCTTCCTTTCCTCCTTCCCTTCCTCCTTCCCTTCCTCCTTCTCTATCTCTTCCTCCCTTCCTCCTTCCATTCCTCCTTCCCTATCTCTTCCTCCCTTCCTCCTTCCCTTCCTCCTTCCCTATCTCTTTCTCCCTTCCCTTCCTCCTTCCCTTCCTCCTTCCCTTCCTCCTTCCCTATCTCTTCCTCCCTTCCTCCTTCCCTTCCTCCTTCCCTATCTCTTCCTCTCTTCCATCTTCCCTTCTCTCCCCTTTTGTTTCCTCCAATTTATATAGCCACCCATCTTGGAAGCAAGCAACTCTGGCCATTGCAACTCTGGGTAGTGTATACAACATCTGAAAACAGTTAATAAACACATGAAAATATAAAATCCAAATTAAAGCAAAGAATAATAGACAAAGGGCTATTAAAANCATAACGGAATGAGCTCCCGTTACTTGTCCCAGCTTCTTCCAACCTAGCAGTTTGAAAGCATATAAAAATGCAAGTAGAAAAATAGGGACCACGTTTAGTCATGCCAGCCACATGACCACAAAGACATCTTCGAACAGCACTGGCTCTTCGGCTTTGAAACGGAAATGAACAGCAACCTCTAGAGTCAGGAACAACTAGCACATATGTGTGAGGGGAACCTTTACCTTATACATTTAACATATTAATATTAATAATAACTAAAGGACCAGAACAAACACAGACAATAAGAAGGTTTTTTTTTAATTGATCTGCTCAACCCTGCCTGTTTCGAGTTTATAAAAACTCTGCTACTATAAATTGCATCTTTGGTGAATTGGATAGCTACAGCAATCTCTAAAGTTACCTTGAAAAGTGTGACTACTGCTGTTCTGTCTTTTATCACAGGCAGATAGTTACAAAAGGTCACAAAAACTCTGGAACGGCTCCTGATGTTTCTTCCAAATTTCTGCCAAATATGGTAAGTCTAGAAGTAGGAAGGAAAGTCCTAATTAAATGTTCCCTGGTTTGAAATCAGTGCTGACAATTGGTATACTGCAGTTGCCTCTCATTTTCTCTCTTTCTGTTTATCCTGGGCTTTCCCCCTTATACTGCAGGAGAAAGCAAGTGATAATTTCACAAAGCCTACTTCAAACCAGGGGTGTCAAACTCAGGGCCCACAGGCTGGATCCGGCTCACGAGGTGCTTAGATCTGCCCCGTGAGGCTGCCCTGGAAACAGTGAAGGACTGGCCTATAGTGTGTGCCAGTGAAAATGAAGCTCGCAAGGGCCACACATGGCCCTCCTAAACTCCATTTCTGCTGGCAGAGGTTGCAAGAGGCTGTTGATGTCAGAAATGGAGGTCAGGAGCCCGTTTTCGCTGGCAGAGTGCTTTGGCCACCACAGGTACCACCGACACGAGTGACATCAAGCTGGTGATGCACACCCTGTCCCCCACCCCCGAGATCAAACACAACCCTGTTGCAGCACTCAATGAAATCGAGTTTGACACCCCTGCTCCAAACATAGGTATTAAACAGCACCACTCAGTATTAGTGGAAGATTATTAAATGGCACAAGGAGCAATTGACTCTATTTAATTCACATTAAGCATTTAGATTGACTTTCTGATTACTTTATTGATTTATTACATTCTAGCTTGTTTTTCTATTATAGGTTATCCTTGACTGAGAATGATTCATTTAGTGCCCATTAAAATTTACAACAGCAGTGGAAAAAGTGACTTTACCATTTTTCAAACGACCATTTCAGCATCCCCATGCTCCAGTGGTGGGTTTCAAAATTTTTTAGAACCTCTTCTGTAGGCGTGGCCTGCTTTGTGGGAGTGGCTTGCCANAGGGTATCTATCTATCATCTAAAAATTCCCTTCTTATCCTTATAAATGGTATGTGTCTTTCTCCATCTTGAGTCCTTGAGTCCTCTATCAATGGCTTGGGAGTTCCATTGTGCCTTAGCTGTTCTAACTTTGCCCTCTTCTATTCAGAAAGTTCTGAGGTTCTTGGGATCTGTTGGTGCCACTCCCCTATTTTAGTACTTACAGCCTAAAGTGCTTCTATCACCAATGGGACCATTTTGGCTTTTACTTTCCACATGCTCTCTATTTCCTCCTTCAGACCCTGGTACTTCTCCAGCTTCTCATATTCCTTCTTCCTAATGTTGCTGTTACTTGGCACTGCTATATTCCGAATGGTTGGCTCTGCAGCCACAGTTGTAGGGTGCTGTACTTGTTGGGAACCATGGATTTGGATCTGAGTACGTTCCAGATTGATTCAGTGTAGCAAATGCCTTGCATTGAACCAATGATTAGTGGAGGGAAATTCTGTAGTGTTCTCATTTGTTGGCCAAATAATCTTGAAGGTTCCGAAATGTTATAAAGCTTGACCCACTTGCTTGTGTAAGATAAGTTTGTGGGCAGCTGTTTATTCAACAGTTGGCATTCATTGTCCTTCTGTTTGTATCTGCCTGGATTCTTTGGTGAGGCTCACATAACTAAACAACTTGAAGATTTGTGCTACAAATGTTTTTAGCTATCTAGGTAATTCAATTCCATGTGATGAGATGACTCATCTGCTTGAAACCCAGCAGGAACTGTAGTGGGACTGAGCAGCCTCTCAGCTGGTTGTACAAAAATATGTTACGTGACTCTAAGTATACTCAGAAATAGGTTCCTGTTGCTTTCAGTAATGCTTGCTCTCAACTAAGCATGTGGTGAAGTTAAAGTATGTGAGGAAGGAATTTCTATATCTTTAATTGAAAATAAGTGGGTTTTATTCAAATAATAATAGCACACATTACATCTTATTATGAGGCTGTTGGAAGTAAAATCAGATTATTTGCATACACTGAAGTGTCAGATGAACAATGTACAAAAGCTGTAATTAAACTTGGGTTCATTCAAAATAATTATTTCATTGTTTTCCAGGACTTGGAATACTTCCATTAATTACTGGTTTCTTTTCTTTTCTTTATAGATCCTAGTAAATGTGGGCAATTTCTTTACATTGGAGTCTGTGTTTGTAGCACCGAGAAAAGGAATATACAGTTTTAATTTTCATGTAATTAAAGTCTACCAGAGCCAAACAATTCAGGTATGTTGAATTAAAAAATAATCTTTGAGGCTAATATTGTTAATGTTTCTTTCTTTCCTCCTTTCCTCCTTTCCTTCCTCCCGCTCTCCCTCCCTCCCTCTCTGTCATACTTATATTGGATATTAGCTTTAATCTAAAAGCATCATGTTGTAGGTTATTAAAAATATATAACATATCAAAAGAAAGCAATATCAACATGAGTGAAACAATAGGGACAGCTACTGGTAAGAAAGACTAATAGATTTTAAAAGATAAATCAAATTACAGTCTTACATCCCCATTCTAGATATGGCAGCTTCTCCAAAATGACCAAGTTGACTTTCATGTCACAATTTCTTCATAACTCATTCATCAAAGAGCATTAAATACCAGGAATGCAAGGCAGCCAAAATTAAGTTGGCACAGATTCTCTGTGTACTCTTTCTAGAGTCTCAACATCTTTTATATTGTGGCAACCACAGCTGGATGCAATATTCCAAGTGTGGCCTTATCAAAGCATTATAAAGGTGAACTAACACTTTGCATGATCTTGAAAAGCAGTACACACATCTAAGTAATATTTTATGAAACATTATCTAGACAGAATGTCTATATCTAAAACCATCAGACTCAAAAAACTTAAAAAAAACCTGTTGAAATTCTTGTAAGCAGTTTCCTTTGTTGTTCTTCACCTATAGACAGAATCTTGGCAAAATAAAGCAGGCTACATGGACCTTAAAACATACTCTGGAAAGTATTAGGGAGCAGCTGTCTTCACTCTCTCTCTCCCACACAAACTATCTAAACTGCACTCCTTGGGAGTTTGGAAAACATTCCGTCACAATACCAGCGTGTTATTTCTTTTTGTAGCTCTGTACAGTAACCTGAGCAACTGTAAAATCTGTGGAAACTCCCAGAATTCTTAACAATGGCCACATAGAGTGGGGGAATTTGGGGAGTTGAACTCCATATGGGCTAAATATGTCTTTTTTTTTTTTTTTTAACAAAAAAACCGATTTATAGGAACAGATGTAAAGGCCACTCCAATTTATATAACTTACACAATTTGGAAAACCTCAAAACGGTTCAGATTTTAGAAGTTCCAAATGCAATGTTAAAATCTGAAATGCTACAGAAAATAGGTAGATCTTTAGCTGGAAGAGCTGTGAATTGCCAAGCAAACTTCCTGGGATGAGTGGTGTTCTAGAAGGGAAATGCCACAGCTTCTGCCTTTGTAGTCATTGGCCTCATTTCACTGACAAGTGTTATTCCAATAGTTTCGCCAAAGAATCCTTAAGTGCTTGACTGCACAGATAAGCATGGTTGGGAACATTCCTTTGGCCATACTGGTCCCAAATAATTATGGTCTTTACAGGTCGGCACCAAAACTTTAAACTTGGGACGGAAATGGACAGGAAATAGCAATAGCAATAGCAATAGCAA